TTCCCTGAAGTTTCAGAAGTTTTGCATGCATTTATATTTTTTTATATACACATGCGACATGTCCCACCAATTTTATCCCTAGATTATCACCCAAATATTAGAACAGAAGTGCAAATTATGTGTGAAGCTTCCCATATACTATATGGTGGCACTGTATAACGTTGCCACTGGAACACCAACTACTCAAACAAAGACAGGCGTCGTTCAGAGAGCACAAAATACAAACTGTGACATTGCCCTGGCTAATAATTTTTTGCAAACTTCAGGTGGATGTTCTTATGTTTACGCAGTGATGTAGATTGGCATGCTGGTGTCTGCTTCACACATGAAGGAAGTTAATATATAATACATTACATGCCAGCTACACGAATAAGCATACTGCAAGTGTGTGAAGCTGGCTGGCCAATTAGGGAACATGACAGTAGATATGCAGAAGTGTCCAAAACTCAGCTACCATTGTTCATGCTGGTCAGTATAATGCATATGATGTCATGGGTATGAACTGTATAGTAATTAAATGGACATAATTATACAAATTTTAAATTTCTGCCCATATCTGACCCAACACATCACTGATTACCCTCATCTTCAAACACCAATATGTCTAATATACAATAAAATTATTACCATCTTTCTACTGCACAGAATTTATACATTATTTACAAAACTATATAAAAGCAATGTCATACACAAGCAGACGAAAGGCACTCTAGGTAGTGATTCTGTAACTGGTTCCAAGTTTCACACAAATGACAGGGCAGGTTTCCACTGCAAGATGATTATTTTAGAGTGGTCCAAAAGGATAAAGGCTATGACACTCTGTACAGTCAGATCACCACTGCTATACTCCTATACATATTTAATAACCAATCTGACATTACCTTAAATCTAACAAAGAGGAATGCCTGAGCTACTAGGTACACTGGCTCACAGAACATCTCAATGACACAACTAAGACAAATTGCCCACACTCCAAGTGTGTAGTGCTGTGTGATGTCTGTGCTTGGAGGTGTCAAAACATGCAGCCAAATATAACCAAATATAAAACTGAAGAACTGGCACAATGGCACCCTGTAATTCACACAAAACACAAAATTAACTCCACTGTTACTTTTATTTTGTCTTTTCCATACTGACCCTTTACATCATTTTTAAAATGTGTGTTGATCACGTGCTGTCTTGTACCATACTAACTTCAGATAAGTGGTTGCTGGGTCACATGTTTTATTGCATGTTTTGTTTTCTTTTACTACAGAACTGGCATTAAATAATGCACAAAACACTACAGCTGGCATCAGTAAGAAATGCAATGTGCATATAGAACATAATAGATTTTAAGCTTTCACAGTAATTCATTATTCATGCTGATTCTATTTTTGGGTGCTGGCAATGTACAAAAACTGACCTGTTACTGACGTTACCTCTACCACCAGGACTGAAGCAAAGAATGAAAGAAAGAAGGTGGTTTACATCAGATAGGAAATGGATCAGGTCATGAGAACTGGCCAATCAGAGCAAGGGATAAGGTGGAAAGAGCGAACAGGAAAGAGTTTGGGGGGGGGGGGGGGGGGGTGAAAGAATGGTTGGAATAGGAGAGGATTCAAGAAAACCCTGAGAAACATGTGTTACCAACCAACTTCGTAGTTACAGTTTATTGTTAAATTTAACTTTACAAACAGGCTGACAGAACATATTCTCAGTGTTCCCCAGTTTAGATTGCACTAACAACTTAAAAATAATTTTAGGCCCTGTTGTACATTTTCTTATACTCTGGACTCTTGACTTATGCGGTATTGTTCATAACATTTTATTCTAAAGACAAAGTCAAGTTTAATGGTAAATTACAGCTACTAACATGGTCAATTTGTGAAAATTCATACATAAATAATACAAAATGCAGTAAAATGATTTAAGACACTAATAACAGCTTACGTAAGCCAAAGGAGGTTGATGACCTGAGCCCAGTTGTGTTCTGTTGTCTTGCTGAGACAAGCACGTCTAAATGCCTCTCGGCTGAGGAATAATATGGTTGACTCAAGAAGAAGGAGACGAACATTCATCACACCCACCACTGACTGACTGACATGTCGGAGTACAAATGCATTTAGTCCAAATGTCACACATCTAAAAAGAATCTGATAAAAGAACATACCAAAGAATATATAAAATATGTAAAATTAATATAATTCCTGCAAAACAATGTTTTAATCTGTATTTCTATAGCTACTTTAGTAGTGCAAATATATTTGAAACCAAAATGATGCTACAATTCATTTTCTCATATTACTACTAAAGAAAATGTATTTAACCCCCTTACACCATAACATGAAGCCTGTCATAAACATTTCATATAGCCAGCTGCTACATCATGAATCAGAAACACACAGTCTGCTGTCATGAGTTTACACCATATGACAAAAAATAGGGGCAAGGAACGATAGACTTTGATGCAACACTTCACCATCATATTCATACTAAGAACTGAAACAAGATTATCAAATTGTTTCTGGTGTAACTGTAAATTCACTGTGACTCTGAGAAAATACTTATTCTAATACTACCTACACAATTCTATCCCACAAGATTTGCTCTTAAAATCTAGATACATATTTGAGGATTATTGTTCTGTCTTCAGTCGCTGCTGAACTGGGTGTAATGATGGTCAGGAACTCATTTTATAAAGAAACAAGCTTTAATGTAAACAAAGTAAGATAAATGAAGTCACAGAAAATTCAGTTTCGAATTCCTTCTCTTATAACTGGCTCTCATACCAGACAATGTGGAGAAGCTCCAAACAAACTCTGACATGCATAGCACAAATACAAGGGATAAGCATGTTCTCTATCAGGCTGATAGAGATCATGCACTCAGCAGAGCGCTAACCTCAACAGTTAACAGAAAGGTGCTTACTATGCAGGGATAAAATTATTCTCTACTCTTCCACACAGAATTAAAGGTTTAAACCATGATATAAAAGTATTCAAGCCAGCATTCAAAGATTATCTTTTATCTCACTCTTACACTGTAGAAGAAATTACATAACTATTAAATACTGTAAACATTTATGGAAAAAGCTGCAATAAGTAAACAGTTAAAATCTGGTTTTGGTATTTTATTGTACTAAGTGCTGCACCTCCCTTCCTACTAACATGGCAGGCCAGGGCAATAACTTATGATGTAGTTAGTAAATCAGTTATGGTTATCAAAACTTTATATTAGGAGACCAAATATACAATAACACACATTAAACATGCTACATAATTTAGTACAATTAGAAAATAACAAGCATGTCTGGATAAAGTGAACAAATACAAATATAAGAACAGTATGCGAGGGCCCACTGTAACAATCTCACATAACCAACTAGTATGTACAATAACAGAATGAGTCATAACACTGACCAAAATAATGCTCTAAGTATAAACAGTTTTATGAGGCCACTATATGCATCACATTAAGAACTTACATGTACAATTAAAAGACAATTCCATATTTAAAAAATTCTCAAATAACACCAAAACTCCATACAAGCTAAATCACAAGTTAATATAAAAAGAACATGCACCCAACAAAAACCTCAAAAGTAAGTAACAGCTCAGCCATGAAGAAAAAACAGTATCTAACAATTATGTATCATTTGAGGTTTTCATGGCGGTGAGTCTGAAGATGGCTGTCTTCTGGGTTGTTGCACCATGTAGTCTGGTAGAAGTTTACTGATGTTTCAGAAGTCCTTGCTGCCTCTATCATCAGCGCAATTATGGAAGCAGAAGACAGCCATCTTCAACTCATACTTATACAACCAAAAACCCAACTCTCTAGAAACATAACAACATGAAGAGGGAATAACTTACACTGGCTCACAGTAGTAAACCATGGGTGTACCATAAGCCAAAAGAATGTTACAAATACAATTTAGCTACCAGCATCACAACAGCTCAAAGGCGAAGATATGTGTGCCGCTGGCAGCACGGTCAAGATGGCCAGAGGGAAAAGATGGAAAGTTAGGTGGGAAGGTCGCAAGGAGGTATGGATAAAAGAGGAGTAACAGTCCTTGGGAAAGATGTCAAAAGGCAGAACCAACCCACAATTAGTGTTCGTATTCATACCATTACATGTTCCACATCCTTGTTACGTAGTATGATGGCGATACGGAAATAAATTCTAATTCTAGTGTCCAAAAATGTGCATGAGTGATACAAATTGATCCTCAGAAGTTCTGACAATGGCATAATACAATCTGAACTATTGGGTTTTTGAACCTTCACATTCTTATGCCTTCTCATGACTTTTATTGTTAATTTTATTATCATCTCCCACTGACATAACCTGATCTCAGGTACTAAATACACATGCAGAGTTTTTTACATAGGTTGTCTAGTGATTGCGATTAGCTTACTGTAACAGGCCCCACAGAGCAGGTGCCCTCTTGATTACACTTGAGAATGAGGACAGTTTCCCCAACAATCCAGATGAGTGATACAGCTCAATTTATAATCTTTTGCTTTTGGAAATAATTCATAATTAACCTAACTCCACAAAATAGAATCTGAAAAGCTAATATTCATAATTGCTCATCTGGCATGGGCAAAGACTTTCTTCTTTGCCACCAAGTCCAGATTGGCTGCGGCGCCTAGCTAGACCCCTGTCCTATGAGTACCAAGCCTCTTTCTATGAGAATAATGAATCTGAACCATGAAGCTATTATTCACATCCTCTAGTGCCAAGATTAAAGGTATGTGATCATAAATCTCCACTCCCCCTTGGGGTAATGCTTAATTTAGCATAGGGACAACTTTGTCTTCTTACAGAATTGTAAAGTATAGGAGGTAGCAGGATTTGGAATACCTCACATGCAAGGTTCACTATATTCTACAATTCTTCAAACAGAGAGGATCTTGGTTGCATTATATTTGTCTTTTCACAAACTTAATTTCACTAGGAACAACTATAACAGTGTTATTACATAACTTACCTGAGGTGAGGTTAGTTTAAACTGCCTAACCACCACACCAACATAACTTATGGAAGTTGGTGTAAAGTAACATAATGTCTTAAGATGTACTTCCAGACACATTAACAGTGTTTAATTATTATATAGCACTACAAATCCCCCTGTTAGTTAGCATCAGAAGGAAAACGACTGTGTCGTAAGTCGTATACTCAGTACCAAAACAGAACAGGACTTATTTCTAACAACATACCTGAAATATAATATTGAAAGATGCATTCTGAAGACTGCTTTTAAGAAAATTTCTTGCCATGATTAATAACGCTGGTACTTGTATCGGCACTAAAAACAGAATGCTACGCAAGTATTTTCCATTAGAATTGCATAACTCATGTGAAATATTAAACTTCTATAAACATTCCAGGAAGTATTGATACAATAATTCGCTCAAATAAATACGTGTGCATGTAACAATGTTTCTCCATATGTACTCCTGTTACCACATCAACGTACCACAGTTGTATGTCTTGTAATATCTACACCTTGCTTCTGATATTTGCAATGAGACTACTACTTTTGTACCTCGGAATGGCAATTTTATTGAGTACTCCACAATTATTCCATTATTTCGACACGTTATAATCTCTGCCAAATCATAAACTTCGTAAAGGAGAATGGTTGGTACAATTGACGCCACAGATTTGGGAAAGATAACACCTTTCGTGATTTTACTACGCTGCGAATAGATGCCGCAGATGTTTGGCGATCCTCCCCTTTGGTAGTATGTGTGTGTTGCTAAAAACAAAAATAAAAAGATACGTGTTCTTCGCTCTATGTTAAAATATGAATAAAGCACGTTGTGTATAGGAAATGTCCGATTATGTATGATTAATGGGATGGCGAACGAATCGAATCTGCCTATGTTAACATCATTAATTGTAAGTGTAACGGTCCGATGCCTCTTGTGATTTATGTAATTTTTGATGATATAAAAAGGCAACTTTAAATATGCTTGGCTGTACTTAAGCATTTAATTTCCTGCTGTTTGTATATTGGCTTGTGTCTATCATTTTTATGAAAGAAGCTAGGTTACGGCTTTAGGTTATATTCCGAAATAATGACCCGCATAGTCGGTACTGCGTTCATAGTACTTACTTCTGTAATTACAGATACCATTTTCAGCATAACATTATATATAGACTATAATCTGTATTCTCCCACATAATCTTTTTTTATTATCCACGCGGTGCAGGGTCCTAATTAAATGTTTATAACTACTTTATTGAACTGCCGGCGCGGAATTTGAATGTTAATTGCTGCATTCCACATCCTTGGCATGGAGGATGTGTGAAATGCAAAACATTCTAATTCTGTCCTCACCTTAATCTATTTCTCCAGCATCAGTCTTAATATATTAACGTTGGTCTTCTGTGTCGTAACACTGTGGAGAGTTGTAGGTATATGACATTTTTGAAGAACACAGTACCTCCGTTTTCTGGGCCACTTCAGCCCAGATAATGCAGGCAGTACGTTATTCAGCCATAAAGATGAAGGTAAGTATGTTCCACCAAAATGTTGGTATCCACCTACAAGTCCATACAGTGTCACTAAACAGAAAACCAGCATAAACATTTTTTTACTGCCATAGAAATCACAGATCTCATATCTTTTCTAATATTGTCCTCCCATCTATGCCTACATTTTCCAAGTGGTCTTATAACGTTTTCTAACTAAAACTGCATTATCATATCTACATATATTGTACATATTATCTTTCATGTATTAATTGTAATGATGTCTAATGAAGATTTCAAATTAGAGTTTACTAGAAACTTACCCAACCAGAATGACAAGAAAATAAGTAGTGCATACAAAACATTTTTATTGTAAAACTATAACAAAGCAGCATATACAAATTAAAATAATATTTTATCTTTGCTTAATAAAAGAATATGTGATTTAACATAGTGCAAATATTGATTTTAAAAAATTATCAACCAACCAGCCAACACACATATTTCAACATATATTGTAGGCTATACAAGCATTACAATGCATTCTCTCTTGAGTTTGTAACACAAAGTAAAGGCTGTTCTATCAACAATCCATTTGTGATAACTGAATCAATAAAGAAAGAAAACTTTCAAACATGTGTTCATTTGTTTTGTTAATAAGAAGATAAGTAGGCAGGAGCCAATGAATAATCTTAAAACCTTGCATATCATGCAATGTACTGATTTATAAAATCATGCATACAAACAAGTGTAAACAGTTTTGTTTGTATGAATGATTTTATATACAATGAATACATCTTATTTTGAAGAGATACGCTTATATTTTTACATTGTCTGCAGTCTAATAGTGATTTGGAAAAATCACCACCGAATGCCAACCGACCTTTGTCTATTATATATGTTGAGTATAGTTTTACTCATTCCTTTCTTACTCCTCTGTTCCTTGATTCAAATATATTCTGCAAAGAACATTGTTTCTGAACCATATAAAACAAGTACAGTTTTTAGGATTTTGCCCTGTGGAAATAAGTAGTAGCAATAACAGTACTTTCCTTGAATCTTTGATCTGAAATCCAAATTAAGTTAGTAAATGTAGCACAGCAAACATTACTAAGCCTAGATATAAAATAATAGCTTATGTTACAACCTTGTATGCTTTACTTGAAATATGAATAAAATAGCATAAATGTAAAATTTTGTTCTTTGGAATGTTATTACTAAGCTGCATGTGGTGTTCATCCCAGTTCAACTACAAACATCAATGTTAGATACTAACGGACAAAATTTCATGTGAACATCGTACCATTAGATACCTGTCTATCATTGTCAAGGGATTTTAAAATCTGTGCTTTATAATCCTTTGGAACCATAAGATGTACCATCCAGTGGTGAAATATTTGTATTGATGAAGTACTTGTATTGACTATTGGACACATGCAGGCAGGTGGAATAGCAGGCATAACTGTTGATATGACCTTATTCCCTCTGGACACTTTGAAAACCAGACTTCAGAGTCCTTGTGGGTTTTTTAAAAGTGGAGGATTCCACCATCTTTATAAAGGAGTGGGAACAGCTGCAATAGGTTCCATCCCTTCAGGCAAGTAAATTAAAACATACTAGGAATAAAAATAACAGATAATGCATGGAATGTGTAAATTTTAAACAATTTGAATGATTAAATATGTTTCATTTTTGTGTTGCTTTACCAAACAAATTGAAGTCAGTCACCATTATTATGTTCTCTTTATAGCTTCTGTATTTTTCTGTACCTATGATACTATCAAGAAGATGTTTTCAAAACATGTTGATCCAGTGTACTTACCAGTAATTCACATGGTTGCTGCTTGTGCTGGTGAAACTGTAAGTCAAACCAGATGGGCTATATTAAATACTATGGGAAATCATGAATGAATACGAAGCATGTTCTATTTTCTGTGCACAAGGATACATGAAATAATACATTTAATCTTTATGCTAACATCCGTACCTCCTATTTTGACTCTTAAAAGCTATTCACTACCACCTATAAATTTTACCTTTTGACATGGCACACAACCATCCTGTTAGTGTTATTCTTTCTTAAGGGAACAATATAGCCTTATGTGACCATGCTTCTTGAACAATACTGGCATTTCATTTTCTCATAAAATATATGCTTGTCCTGTGGTTAAAGTTAAGACATAATAAGGAAGTAAATAAATTTTGTTTCATGCAAAGTACAGAATGGAGCACTAGAATTTGTTGACAGAAAAGTATTTGGAAGAAGTATGTATGCAAAAATTTTCCTTTAATTTTTAGTATTTTTACGTATAAATGTATATTCAACAAATTTTAAATGATTTGGATATCACATTTTTCTGTCTGTAATAAACCTATCAAAATCTTCTTTTTAGGGATCATGCCTTATCAAAGTGCCCATTGAAGTTGTGAAACAAAGGCAGCAAGCAGCATTAGATAAACTATCACCCCTGCTTATCTGCAGACGGGCTATTGAAGCAGAAGGTTATTTAGGATTATATCGTGGCTTTATTACAACAGTTCTTCGAGAAATACCATTTGTTCTGATACAGTTTCCAATGTGGGAATGGTTGAAAGCACAGTGGTACTATGCTAAAAAGAAAAATCTCGGTGTTATTGAAGTGGCAGTCTGTGGCTCAGTATCAGGTAAGTTTTCAGGTGTTGATTGTATAGTGGAACCTCCATTTAATGTTCCTTAGTATAAAAGTCTGCTCATTTGTTGAATTTATGTAGCTACAGTTAAAGATTTTCATATGCAGCTATCTTTCTACTGAAAGTACATCTGACTTGGAATTTAACTAGACCAAGAGCATTTATGTATATCAAAGAGTGCATTTTATTTTTCGTTCTCAATAAGCAACCTAAAGTAAAGTGGTCAGAATCCACCTTTCAGGATGTTTTATTAATTACATTGTGTATTGTTAGAAAATTGGGAAAATTACTACAATCCAATTTATGAGCATTTGAAGCAATCACAAGTTTTTATATTGTTTTTTTTTTTACTCCATCAGTTATTAACCAATTTAAGTCAGAGGGATGTACAATTAATTTAGAAAAGGAAATTTCTGTAACATACCTAAAGCTGTCTTGCAACACACCAGGATAACTTCAACACTCCACTTGGAAATAATTGGTTTGAGTATTAAAAATTCTACTTATCTGAAGAAAAGAAAAATAATGGTTAACATGTGCTCTATGTGTGTGTATACAGCATTGTGGTGTTGTACATAAGCTACATCAGTAGAAAGAACAAGGACCATCTGATGCTCTTTCTTTCCCACATTCCTAATACTTCCAGTTTAGTCTGCGACTTCCAACATATATTTCAGTGACAGTGTTCAAAAAACATGAGCAAACTTAATAGCTAGTTTTAATTTTGGGAAGATGTGTAACTGGCAAAATCAAATATGGTAAATGATACGCTTTCACTATATAATCTATGGACCTATGTGTTTTAGGTGGGATTGCAGCAGCTGTAACAACACCATTGGATGTAGCCAAAACTAGAATCATGTTAGCAGAGAAGAATATATATTCCCAAGTTGACTTTACAAGGTTTCAAACTGCTGCTGTGCTTTTAAGTATCTACAAGGAACGAGGAATTCAAGGGTATTTATATACAAGAAGTTTTTCTTTGAATTCCATGTTCTGTTAACCACTATGGTGTTTTTGTCTTTTACAGCATTTAATAAAGAATGACACCTGCTTTGGAGGTTTAGTGACCATTTAAATTAGAGATGATCATGGGAAATTAAGATGGCTGTCTTCTGGGTTGTTGCGATCGCTCTGATGATGGAGGCAGCAAGGACCTCTGAAATGTTGGTAAACTTCTACCAGACTACACGGCACAACAACCCAGAAGACAGCCACCTTCAGATTCACCATTGTGAAAACCTCAAATTCTACATCATGGGAAATGTTAACACATAATTCATACATTCTGATGTTTCAGTCTGTTCGCTGGTTTTATACCACGTACTCTATGGATTACGCTTGGAGGTGCTGTGTTCTTTGGTGCATATCAAACAGCAGTGGACTTCTGTTCAAATTTAGATGTACTGAGATAGAAAATGCAGTTTATTACTGTCTTAATTTTGTTAAACCATCATTTGAAGATACATGTACTCTGTATGAGATGTGCTTTATGTAATTTCAAATGAACATATTGTGAAGCAGATCAGTAATTAATTGTGGATTAAGATGAATATGATCAACCTTATCATACTATCCTTTGTGACTGCAGTTTTTCTGGTCTTCATGTTGCACTTAATTGTTCTGGTGTTCATACTGCACCCATCTGCAACTGATGCTCCTCTTCTTGACTCACATGCAGCACACAGTTTTGTACTCACTATGTCCACACAATGAAAGATTATCACTTAACTCCACTCACCTTATAAAGCCATGTAGAAAGTTGTGCACTGATCCACAAGCCTCGAGATGTTACTGCCTGTTTCTTCCACCACCAGCCAGAAGCTGTCAGAATGTTCAGTGCACTCAAACTGCTTGGCATCAATTGTGGCTACCTGCAGTAGGGAGGGAGGGGGGTACTTGTGCTTGTGTGAACAGCCCCATAATAAATGCTCGTGCTCTGGCTGACATCACAGCTGTACACACTATATTATGTAACATTTAAATTATAAACTCATTATTTCCTCAACAGAGTACATAGTAAAAATGTTACTTAAAGCTGACAATGTATTTTTCAATGGCAACTATTTTCACCGATATTTGTTTTAACAAATTTTAACAAGACTTCTTCGAGGTGAATAGGCAGATGAAGACTGCCAACGAGCTTGGGGATTGTACATTGTATTTCCAAGATATGCTGAGATCTGTTGCAAAGACATTCCATTATATTGAGTTCGGACGAATATATGGATAAATAAATAAATTATATATTAAATAGACAGAGAGAGAATGCACATTTATATTTTATTTTGTAAAAACTTTTCATTCTTTTAAGTTTAGTCTCATAAAAACTCTTTTAAAAATAATGTTTCTTAAAGAGAGCAAATGTAATTACTTTACTCATTCCATCAGAACCTGTGCAAAATTAAGCTTACAAAGTTTGGAATGTTGAAATAATTTAATAATTTATACAGTAGATTCTTGATTATTTGGGGTCAGATTTGAGATCTATCTGGTTTAAATGAAAATTAAAAATGAATTTAGAAAATCTGTTCCAAGAGCTGGAACATTTAAAAGAAAGGAATAAATGCAACAGTGACATTACTTAATGTATTAACATGAATCAGTTGTTGCTAAAACCTGAAATGTGCGACAATATAATTTTATTACTATCTGCTGGAATCTCTTTTTAAAAACAAATGGTATGTAATACATTAAATTTTATATAAAATCCTCTGTTAATGGTAAATCTTTAAAAATATAAATAGTGCATATCTGTAAATAAAGTTATGTAATTTTTACACATGTTCTGTTGACAGTCTTTCATTTCATGAAAATGGTGTGCACATCAACACATTCAAATTCAAGATAATTGCTTGTATACATACTTGTTTACCAGGTTAAAAATACAGCTTTGGACTCTGTCAAATATTTTATTTCATACAATTTCATATGTAGTCATTTGAATACCTTTTATGTTGTTTCAGTATTATCCTTATCCTGATTCTAAGGTATTAATGCATAATGCAAATCTGTAAGCTTTCCTGCTATATCCTGGAAGTCCCAGAGATGCTGAATAGTGCTCAGGAGACAAACTGAGACCACAAAAAATGGAAATTGAAATGCGGTGGTGGTGGTGATATAATTGAAGATATCCGTCTTCTGGGTTGTTGCGCTGTGTGGTCTGGTCGATGTTAACCAACATTTATATAACGTGATATAATTCTTTCCTTCCTCCCAGCAAAGAGTCAAGACACATTAAATCTTAGTTTGCCAAACATTAAGACAGCATCATATAACAAAACTTGTACTAAAACAATGGGCATGACTTAAAACTGCAACTATTTCATGTTGTACAAATGACATACATCTTCTAGGTAATCTTCCATTTGTACATCTGCACAACAGCTACCAAGCTTCTCCTTAAAAAAACTACCTTGGCTTTCACTATTATTACCATAATCACACTCTACTGCACTGTAACCAGAGTATTCTTTCATATCATTTTGACAAACTATTCCATAGTCTGCCAGGAAATCCAGAACAAGTTCCTTTGTTTTGATGATATTAAATGCAAGTCTTTCAGGCTTTGCTAATACTTTTTCCAGCATGAATACAAGATGGTGGTGAAAACACTGAAATGGTGTTGCTGTTGCTGTGGAAATGGTCACCCAGTCTTGAATACAAGCCAAAGGAGTTACACAATGCCCAGCAAACAAGGCTGGGTTTGTGAGAATGCCCCGAGCAGCCATCACACCTATGCAAGTCAAGCACAGTAACTCTTAATAATATTCTTGCAGGTTTGAAATATGGCATTATGGGACTGGTAATAACATTTGGGGAAGAAAAAACCACACACACTACAGCATTTGTTATTGCATCCTCATGAACTATCCACATTTCATACAATTACAAACCTTGCTGTGCTTCAAGATTTAGAATGAGATTAAGGAAAGGGACTCTAGAGAGTCAATTTATATCCACATCTATTATATTAATTATAAAATCAACAGTGTCTACTATGTTTTTACATACACCCACCATCACAATAAGTTTTCTCCTGCAGCAATTTTGCTGCACTGAAACTCTTCACATCTCCATTGGCAATCAGTGGAACTCTGATACTGTTCTTTATCTCACGCAGTGCATCCTCATTCACTGGCTCATACCTCTGTGTAGGGGTGCGGGCATGAACAGTAAGGAAGGAGACTCCAGCATTTTCCAAAGTCCTGCATAATTCTATACTCTTCCTAAATAGGGAATAACCATATTCAATCATTCAAATTCATAACAAATTAACATCTTCCTTATCAAGAGACTGCTATAAGAGAATTTTAAAATCAATATATGAATTAAAGTTTCAATCTAATGTATTCATTTTGAAAGGAGAAAAATACCACAGCATGGGCCTCCAGACAGTTTTAGAAATTAAGTGTAGATATTTCATGCAAACAAAACACTTTCACAAAGGTAAAGAGACAACTGCATAATGATAAACTTAAAAATTTATACTCCACCCCCAGTATTATCAGGGTGATTAAGTCAAGAAGAATGAGACGGGTGGGGCATGTGGCACATATGGATGGGGTAGAGGTGTGCACCCGGTACTGATTGGGAAGCCAGAGAGGAAGAGACCACTGGGGAGACCTAAACATAAACGGGAGGATAATCTCAGGTGGGATCTATAGGAGATAGGGGTTGAAGGAGACTGGATTTTGTTGGTCCAGGACAGGGTCCGGTGGAGGGCATTGGTGAATTCAGTGATGAACCTTCGGGTTCTGTAAGCCATCTAGTTAGTTAGTTAGTAACCCCATGGGCATTTAAACCTACAATTATTGTACATTAGTATGGTGAGGCAAATTAAATGGACTACATAATTTATTTCTACCTGGTTTAATTATCACCTTAAATCCTCCATTATGCGCAATTTGACAGACACAGTATATGGCCCTGGGATCCTATTCTTTACTTGCAATACTAAATCTCTAATAAGATGTGGTTTTCTCAGGAGATCAACTCCATAGCCTTCATTTATAGCCCACCGTTGTGGACAACCACAATTCAAATCTACTCCATCACTGTAACTGTAAAAGAATAAAGCTCTATTATTATAAACACGCATATTAATATAACTCAATTTGATATTAACATGTATTTCACAAAAATAATGTATCAATTGCTGTAATTACACAGAATCACATTATACTGGAATAATTAATGCTAAATCAGGAGGCAAGTTGGAGAGCATAAATGGCCATTTTACAGTACCATCCCAGAAGAATTGAGGTAAACAACATAAAACTTTTGTCTTATTAGTTGGTTCCAGATCATCAGTATATTAATCTTTCATACAATGCTGCAATATGTACAACTGCAAATAAAATTATGCAAAAATATGATTTATTTTTGGACTCTGTCCTACTTAAATAATATCCCCAATCTTCATCAAGTCACATTCAAATGTCTGACCCTGTCTGTGGAGTTTAAGAAATTGTTATTTACCTGGCAACCATTTCAGCAGCAGTAGCGAAATCACTGGGATCTTTTGCTGCAAACTGCACTATTAGTGGCCTGTCCCCTTAAGAGAGAAAGAGGAAAACTGCCTGTTAATAACTTTAATATATTCATGGTTATTCAAACTTATCTTTCTGGTTTCTGAAGCCTCTGACAGAAACTAGCAGATACAATAAAAGATTACAAAATGAAAGACAAATGCTAAAATGTTGGTATTTTGTGAGGTCAGTGCTCATTACTTACATTATACCCTAAGTGTCCAAAATGATGCATCAATCTGAAAAAGTTTTGTGTACCCACATGTCACTAAATTAGAAATGTGATATACGTTCAATGAGAATTCTGGGACAAGCATGAAAAAGATTCTTCAAGTGCACCTTCCATTCATGAAGTGTATATAATTCTTTTGAAGACTCTGGCTGCATATGCAAGTGGAGAAACAAACGGAGGCAAAGAATAAGAACTTTCAAACTGAAATAAACATGAAAACTGACTTCTGTTTCTTGCAATCACATTTATTAAGTGCTCTAACATAAATGCTATAATGGGCCAAGTTACTCTTCATTTAAAATCATTACAGTCTGACCTATAGTCCCAAGATCTGATGATTTAACTAAAATGTGTCTTTGTAACAATTAATATTCTGCACTGTGATGGAAGTCAGATCTAAAAATAAACACACAACATTCATAATAGCCTTAATTTTGAGAGATTTGCATCTTTCTAGCTACTTTTGCCCCATCTCCTTCATTCACTTCATACTAATATTCAATTGTTAGAAACCAGTATCTACAAAATCAAAACAGGATGCAAAGGTCTGAAAATAATTAAACTTCAGTAAAAGTGGATTTCATACCTTTATTGGTAGTAAATTCATTATTCCGTGCCTTTGATGATTGTATAAAAGAATCTGCAAGAATCATTGGTGTAAAACACAGCTGACAGTTGTACAACCTAACCAATGACCGGAATGCCAATCTGCAAGTTTAAGAAAACATGGCACGTAATATTCAAGGTTGAGCATATGTTTATATTTCCATAAAAAATTTTGATTCTGTGGCAGGTTAGGTTGGTTGCCTTTTATTTAGTTTGTTGCATCCAGTAAGCATAAACAAAATATTAATTTTACAAATGTCATGGCAGATATCCATACAAAAAAGATAAATGGTACCATACTGTCTGTAATGCTGTTTACTGGTACAAAAGCAGATGCATCCTGCCATGCATTAATAAACACCATGTTTCAAGTTTAGTGGAATGTTTACCAAATTATATACATGTCCATACTTTCATATTGGGCCAAAGGTAAGAACACCACCACCACTCAGAACACAGTCAATTTCTTTAACAGAGTTATAATTGTTACTTACAATTTTCAAATATAAAACAATTACTGCCAAGACTTTCAGATATCAAAAAGCTACAGCAATGTTCCGGGTTGTAGTGCCATGTTGTCTGGTAGTTTACCTACATTTCAGATGTACTTGCTGCATCTTTAACCTGATGATGGAGGCAGCAACCTTTCTGAAATGTTGGTAAGCATTGTAAATGAACAACACTGCACAGCAACCCAGAAGACAGCCATACTCATACTCACCACCATGAGAAATTGATTACAAGCATAAGCAACAATATTGGCTGGCTTTTTTAAAAAATGCATACCAATAATGAGTTTAGATGAAACTTCTTTCAATAAGAGATGTTTCTTCAAATGAAATCCATTCTGGGATTATTCTGGATGAAGGAACAGAGGCAACTCAAAATAGTACCAATGTACACCATAGCTGGCATTCATTGGGAATGAACTCAACAACTGTTATCACTTAAATGTGGTTTATTTACAAACAGGTGTTCACCTAAGGTATGAAAGGTTGTTCCTGGGCCACACTTAAAAGTCGATACCATATGGTAACATGTACAAAATTTCTGGTGAGCATACGAAACACAACCAAATCAAAGCTTCAAATTATACTACCTTAACCTCTAAAAATAACAAATCCTCAACTGAAATTGGAAAAGTGCCCTTATAACCATTTGCAATTTCGTAAATCTTGCTAAAAACAAACAAGCCCAAATAATTCAATTACATTTCCCACTTGCTGTAGTAGTCACACATGACCAATTTATGGTATTTATTGACACCGCCCCTTAAATCTAAGCAAACAGCTCTTCGAAAACTTACTTGCTGTAACGAACCATAGGAGCACAAACTTTAACAAAATCATTTTCCTTAAATAGCTGCATAACAGGAGAATCTGACATTTTTAAAAAATCATATTACATATCATTGCTGTTGTTTCCGGCACACTACATACCATCCTTCACACAAAAGTGGGCAATAGCGTTTAATTTTGGTTATCTGTGATTCCATCGGACGAAGCGATTGGGGTGTGTTTTGTTCGACTGTGTGCTGCGGTCTTGGTTGTGGGATGGAATGTGACCTGGGCTACCGTTGGTCAGTGCTACGGACTGGTTCGGGTTGTGGCGTGTTCAAGAAGTCACTTGTTTCATAGACCTCTCCATATATATGCGCCTCCATATCCTACTTCTATTTTGGCTATATAAGTCCATAACATACTATTTTTATTTCTTTGTGAACACCTCCACACCTGAGTTTTTTGTGAATTAATTGCCTCCATACCCGACAAGAAAAATGGCTATATATCCACCTCCATACAAGAGTCAGTGTGGCCCAACACCTATGGAGGAAGCTTATACACTCTGATTGTGAACGAATGGTTATCATGGACTGCTCAGGCACAGCCCATCCTGCTTCATGTTGTTACGGTGGACTTCAGTTTCAGTGGCCTCCTTAATATGGTCCATGTTTCTGGATTTGGTGGTGAGGATGTTTGTATCCTGGAACTGGACCCAATAGCCAAGGTTGATGCTGATTTTTCCTGATACACCAAATGATAATTCTCTCTTCCTTGCACCCTTCCTGAAGTCCCCTTTTCACCAATTGGCTCTCCTGCTCTGCCTACTTACCCTCACTCTAGTTTTCCCCTCATATTGGCCTAGCAAGGGCTATGCCTTTTCCAACCACAACCTTTCCATGTGCAGCTTATTTATCACTTTAATGATGAAAGCAGTCTTCAGTTAACACCTACCAGAATACATGCCATTCCATCACAGAAGACAATTATCTTCATTTGCCATGTTGTTTCAATAAACAGTCCTCATGTATATAACCTTACAGCTTTCAAGTCAATACAGAAGGGTGCATGTGTTTCCAGACCAGAAAATTTTAAGAAGTCTTGCTCCAATGTAATTTACAAGATGAAGGGTGACAACAAAAAATATACATACCTGTTAATATATTGTGATTCTGTGAGACAGCAAAAAAAGGAGAGTTGCTATCCAATCAGTAGCAAGCATGAGTGATGGAAGGTGATGGAAACACTTTCAAACTCACATGGGAGTGTCATATGCATCTTTACTTTAATGAAACAATTTCAATAACATCACAGATACTTGATGTGCACAGATGCAACAGTACAGAAAAAATAATACTGAAAATGCATAAAAACAAAGAGATATAATTACAATCAATATTTTTATGCAATACAATTATCAAAAACCATTGATATCAAAATATACTTAATATTTTAGAGAAAGAATGCATCTTGAAGGGGAAAATGAACAGAGAGGAAAAGAAAACCACTTCTTAAAACAGTAATAATGCTGGAAGTTCTGAAAGTCTGTACTTTCATACAAAATGTGTACTTAGCAGTAATTTTCTGAATATTGCTTTGGCTCCCTCTGTATTGTTACCACTGGCATCACCTGTTTAACAATGTATCACATAGGTATCACTGTACACTCAATGTGAAACAATACAACATAATATCACAAGATACACACCTATGTGTAATTCACACATATGCAGTTATTGAACAAAATTATGTTGAAATGTCAATCTCTTTTCAGTCACTCTAATTTCTCATCCCAAAATATTACTTTATTTACTTCTTTTATGGTTTACTACCTTCATAAATAGCGTCTGTATATTATTATTATTGGCCTTCTGGCTGTTGATATAGCACACTAATAATAAAGAATTGAATTAAATAATAAAGAACTGAATTGAATTACTGGTATGATCAAAGCTGTAAAAATTAAAATCTTACACTGACTTTAAATTATTAGAGTTATAAAATGATAATATACCATTCTATTGTGTCTAATCAAAACCAATCTGCAATTTTATGATAAATGTACCATGCTTCAACTCCATTTAAATTCAGTCGGTTAATTGTGAAGAAGAGAGCAAGTAATTTGAGTTTTATATTTATTCACTATACACTGCAGAATTTAACTGCTAGCTATCACTCACAGGTTGGTGACACTGTGATAAACAGCTGTAACATTCTTTTCCTTGGGTTTTCACACCTGGAATTCAGTGTGTAACTTCAACTTTTTGGGTTGGGCCAACAATTGGACAGCGGTCCACCCGTTCACTCCACAAATCAGCACCATCAAATCTAACTTGCCACCTACTGATTGTCCTATATAAGACCTCCAGAACTCACTCCACATTCACCCTGAAGATAACAAATGCACTTTCTGCGAAAATGTTGGTTAATATTCAACATTTGACATCCAGTCCCTTCTTTCAAAATCCTTACATATCTTACTCCACCCTATAAAAATTCCTGCCTGGGATGTATCTGTGAGGCATCATCCCAATAGCAAGACGAATGCAGTATACAGATCCATATGTGCAAAACTGTACACAAAATCAGTATAACTTGCTTTACGATTTTATATATACATTATAGTTTGAGGAACTGTCTAGTTCTCACAGAAACCCAAACCATGCAATCAGAAATTTCTCTTCCAGTAGGATGCAAAATTAACTTCATGCAAAAATAACTTCCCCTTCAAATGAGAAAGGAGAGATTCAAAAAAATTTGTCTGGAATGTTACATTATGAATTTTAACAAAGAATATGAATATAAAGATATCTCAGTGTCAAATACCCCACCTCAGAAATGTACTTTATGCCTCTGACAAATAATAGCTAACATAGCTTCTCCTTCATGACATCTGAAAGTGCAGTAGTTAACAGTAATAACTTCAAATTTCATTTTTAAAACTACCATATTTAATTCTGTAGGTAAACTCCTGCATTGCAACATAGTACCACAAAAGAAATGATTTAATATTGACAGTTCAAACTATAGCACACATGAAACGTCCTTAAAATGTTTTTGCTACTAGGTATAAAAAATCTTCCACTGTAGACAATGGCAAACAGGCTTTCACAAACATGTGCTAAAATTCAGTGTAATATAACAGCAATTGGTGTTGAATTTATTAGAAGACATTTCAGTATTTCAGCTAGCGTATACAAAAATTTAAACATTATATTAACTGTTAAACTAACTACATTTCTTATAAGTTGAATTTCCCTCACTGTACAGTATAACTTTAAGTCCAAGTAACAATTAACTGTCTAATGGATAAGCAATGAAAAGTGAGACAAGTATTTTACATATCATTTCTTCCTTTTAAGTAAAATAGCTACAGCAAGAAGCCAATCATGACATTAAGAACATTAATAACTTTACCAACTCATAGCTGTTTTTAAACCCTTACATCTGAAATTTTTGTAAGACATAAAACTGTCAAAGGGTTTATCAGCCATATGCTGTATAAAGATGACTGTCTTCTGGTTTGTTGCACTGTGTAGGCTGGTAGAAATTTCCTGATGCTTCAGAGGTGCTTATTGCCTACACCATAAAAAACCCAGAAAACAGTGATCTTCATACTCACCACCATGAGAAACTGAAATTTCACTTAGCTGTATCCAGTAATTTTACAAAATCTCTCTTCATATTCTTTACATTATCCAATCCCAAATTAATATACACAAAGTTACAATGTGCATTCATAATGGTTATGTGTGTTCAGTTATTATCTGAAAGTTAGGTTATTGCTGTATAATAAAAACATATGAATACCTAATTGTCTTCTTAAACATTGTGCACAGTATTGCTATTGGCACTACAAATATTATAAAAAATCTATCAAGTTGCTTTGGTTAGTATTTAAAAAGCAATCAATAATTCTAAACAAGTACACAAAGACAAAGTTCCAATAAAACAACCGTAATTGGAGTTACATTTGATAATAATCTCTTGTGAAATGCTACATTAATATTTGAGCACTATTCTATGAATTAAATACAAAATGCATGGTAAATAATATAAACTATGGCTTTCTAGTAATCTCACTTTGTCAAACAGATACAACAAATATATTTTTTCAGCACTTTAATAAGATGTGTTTCTCACGATAGACATTAATATTTGGATGTTCAGTCTCACACCATCAATGTGCACTGTGCATGTGTGATACTAGGCTATAAGCATGGGTGACACACAACCAACCACATTTGAGAAATGGAGTTCAGGGAGTTGAATACAAATTGGTAAATTTATAGTCCTGGAAATGACAACTGCACCACTGTCAACAAATTTTCATAACTCAACTTATAAATATAAGATTTTGAGATTCATTCTTTATAGAACCTCCCTGCATTCTGACGGTAACAGGATAGCAGTTACAACAATGCAATAATCCAGTTTTGCAATGAAGGTTTTCAAGTCTAAAAGTATACAAAATACTAAAAACTGATGTTAAGCAAGTTTGTAAGAATAAATCCTCCTGTTCAAATTGCTGTACTTAAGATGGAAATCTCAGAATAACTCACTTTCTCAAGTATGTTTAATTTTAAGAGTGGGAGGTGTACTTACTGATTGTTAAAATATATAATATAATTCAGGTCTATACACAAACTTTATTTACAGATGTTAAAATTTAAAATTTGCGCTATTCATCGTTACTACGATGTTACAATACTGCGCCTTCATTTACTACATGTTTCGATGCGTAGCATCATCTTCAGGTTTTTCCTTGTATCAATCATTTTGAGCACAACTTCAAGAAAGAAGCTTCATCTGGCATACATTCCTACATTTATGCCTTAAAAATCGGGACCAGAGATATGTGCCACTTATACATTTTAAGTGACAACATGGTAGAAATATTCTGAATTTTCATGTTCAGTTCAGTATGGAAACAATTTTCTGAAAAAGAGAGGGCATCAAAATATCACTTTTGTGTGCCATAGTTATCCAGAACATGGAAACTGCTCTGATTAGTTACACATGATCTGTGTAGTGTTCTAGGTATTCTTCGCAACGTGTCTGTGATGTCAAATGTTACTTTAACAATGATTAAATATGACAAATGTCTTAGAAAAAGCCAGATAATCTGACAAGAAAAATTTATGAATTGAAGAATGTCTCACCAGTTACAACAATAATCTAATACATGCTTTTTATTTACTCATTACAACTGTTATGAAGGTATTTAATTAAGAACCAGTAATGCATGACAGTTCTATATTAAATTAATAAACATAATTGCACAGCAGATATTACCAGTAGGAATAAATGTATTTCAGTATGACAATCTTGTGGTGAAACTTTATATAATAATGCAACAAATAACTTAACAATGTCTATACACACAAAAATAGAATATTATGATTTATCAAAACACTTTACAAGCTGGGGTAGTTCAGTCAGTATAGATAGTGTCTGACTATAGACTGGGTGACCAAGTTAGATCTCTGGCAGGGGCAAGGGATTTTTCTTCTAACCTCTGCATTCTGACTGGCTCTGGGGTCCACCTAGCATACACTCCAATGGGTGCTGAAGGGGTATCCCTAGGGGTACAGCACAGCTGAGGCTTGATGCTGACCACTCAATCTCAATAGTGCTGAGGTCAAGAATGAGTAGTAGCTACATCTCCTCTCTTCTCAAGCACTTCCAAGGTGTGTAGTGGGACAGTTTTACTTTACCAAAACATTTTAATCTTTCATTATCTTTATTATGAAAAAGAGACAATTAAATATTAGCAAATACTGAAGTTTCAGTACTTGAATATCCAATGCCAACTTGTTCTGAATTAAGTTTGTATTCATAAGAATTATTAAGGTGATACATTCAAAAGACCTTACAGTATGATTGTGGCTTCTAGGTTAGAAATTATGGTGCTAAAAGAGGAAAGTGGACACTTCAGCACTGCATGCAAAATGCAAGGGAACATGAAGTTTGGTCAGCAGGGCTAAGGTACATGGCAGCTGGTTGGAGATAACATTTAACATTCATAACCATGGCACTAGATGAAGATGAGTGCTAAGCTTGTAACTATAACTGACAGGGACAGGGATGGAAAAGCATGTCTGCATTTATGTTAATTGGAATGCTTATACTGACAAAACTTGAGTCACGATCAGAATACTGCAGTGCTGCACAATTATAAGTGTTAGAAAGTTCTTGTTAGTGGTGGACATTGAGCAGTTCTGAACTCCAAATGGTGACAGAGTTGTCTGAATGGTTAAACATAAGAATATAGTTCCATCACAATTCTACTATTCTAATTGTACAAATATTTAAAACCACCTGCAGTGATTTCTGAACTTTAGTCTGGCATCCTCTCCTTATATAGCTCAGTTGTCATACCCTCCAGGCTAACCAAACTGAATTAAATTTAACTAAAGAAGACTGAAACACTCATTCTTGGCAATATTTTGAAGTGCTACTGTCATTTTGACCTGGTTTTAATAACTACCAGACTTTTCTAGTAATATTTCAAAATATGCAAAAAATTATATATCCTAACAAGTATTTGATAAAATTACATACTGTTCCATAATCCATATAGAATAAAATCATAACCATGGAAGTATGTGGGCAACCCACATAATATGAAAACAATTTTTGTAGAATTTCATTTTAAAAATACATCTGGGTAATTACTTAAGTACCCATTTACATTTAAACCAGTCTATATAATGTGGAACAGAGGCATTACAGTAATATTAAAACCAATCAACTGAACATATTATAATTACATCAGAATTTCACTCACACAACCTAAAAGCAAATTGCTAATCTATATCCAAAAAATGAGCACATCAGTCAATGCACGATAGTTCACAATAAACATCTCACCCCTTTTCACTCATTTCATATCACCTATTACATTTCAAGGTAAACTGTTATTGTCTATTCCTGTAACTGTGAAGAGAATATTATACTGTGCAAATTGATTCTCATTTCATAGCAGAACAGACATGGGCTTTCCATAATCTTAAATGTTTTATATATATCCCATTTAAAAATGATATATTGTAACTCAATAATCACAACTGTGAGCTATGTGATCACGATAGCCAATATAACCCCCAACAACCTGATGAAAAACAAAATCCTCCTACAAGTACACACCTGAAACACTGCACACTTGTGTAACATGTAGGCCGAAACATGCACACAGTACAATCAACACACTTGAGCAAGACCTGACCCAAGAAAAGCTGCAATACTGCTTTGTAGCAGGAAACATCACTTGTTAAAAGTAAAAGTATGTATTATAAATAACTAAATAAATGCCACAGATCTAAATGTGTAAGCTTATGTAAAACTTACAAATCAACAATACTCGTTAAGTACAGTACATACTGAATTCTGAAATTAAACAAATAGAATGCAAAAGCAAAACTCTTAACAGACTAGATACAATTTTGTATAATATCAACTGAAAATTACTAAGAATTAAAATAATGTTTGTATATATTTTAATTCCAAAGTTCTTTCTATGGGTTAAGCTTAAATCCATGAAGTGGCACAAACAACCTACCTTTATTGAAAAATATACACAATGGAAACATACTCAGAGAACCGGAAAGAAATCCAAGCAAAATACACACAATCATAAGTGCTACTAACATACTTATAACATGTGAACATCTGTCCATAAGGTTTCCCACTTACAGAAGTGTTTCTCAACTTTAATTCCTAATACTCTATCATAAACTGATACAATGTGCCCAAGGTAGCATGAAAATGTTCAGAGGTATGGTACTGTTTTTATTTACTCCTGTGTCACGGATGATACTGTACATGAAATTGCTATTAAATACTATAATCATATTCTAAAGAATACTGCTAAAGATGCAAAAGTATAAACGTTATTAACACCAACCTTCTCTCCGCCATTTACCTGCATTCCTCACCAGTGACAAGCTTACAGCAGCAGTTTGAGAAATACCAGTGTCTGAGAGACTCTTGTTAAAACTGTTCAGCTCTATGACAATTACAGAACTTTGCAGATAAATGGAATATACAATCTGGTAAAAATTCTCTTACAAATATAAATAATAAAAATAAAATAGATAACTGACCGTAAAAATGGTATGAAAATCCAAATTATACTTATGCTGATATGACTAGAATATAGATAAAATAGACAAAGTGTCTGAAGTATATACACAAACTCCAGTGTGGGGCCAGAGGATAAGACTGGTTAGTCACTTCCGTATTAGAGATGATCTTATAGTCATATCTGTTACAAGATTCACACCAAACTGTCAACAATTTTTCAGTTGCTCTTTCATGTGTAATATGTGCACAGGCATAACATGGACACTTAAAACATGCAGAAATGAATGCTGATAACATGTGTGCAAAGACCATTTAGCCAACAAAGATAAATGAAAGTGCAGAGCTGCAAAAATCTTGGAGGATAAAGGGCTACAAGACAGGAAAATCCCACATCCCACATTTTACAGTGAACGTTTCTCTTAGCGAAAGCAGGTAAATTATTTGTAGTGTCTCATCAATATTAGCACTGCTTAGCAAGGTGATTTACCTACTTGTTCATTGTGATTATCATGGAAGATGTTGAAGAACAAACATATGAGATCAAAACAAGAAGATATTCAAGAATAAGTAAACAAAAGTCTGTCAACAGTCAAGACGTCAAAATAAATTATACTAGATGTGGAAGCCAACATGAAGGAAGAAGTGACCATATCATAAGTTATAACAGTGTCTCCCAAGCATATGGCCTAGACAAATCTCCATAATACACTTTCATTATAATGCTTAATGGTGCATTTGTACTGCTACAGATACTGGTTGCTGGCAGCTAGCAGGGGCAATGTTTAACTGGAGGATTACCTTTGAAATTACATAGGGCATTTCTATGTTAAGGCTTTCATGGGAGTAATACGAGGGCGGTGGTATACAGAAGGGGCACTATATCAGGTTTTGATTATACACTTGTAGATTATAATTTTCTGAGTTATGGTGTCAGACCACAATCTATATTTTCATTGCCATGAAATCCTCAGTTCTCACTGCATATATTTGTTTTCCACTTTGAATGAGAAATTTGTAACAAAAACCACATCTTTCCTGCTTTCCCAAAAAATGAAGTAGACGCATGTCCACATGTAAATATACACTTCAGAAAAAAAACATTTATGCTGCGGAGTTGAGTAAATGAAGCACTTGTGTAAGACTGCTTAGATTAAAGTCACTATTCATAACAAGATGGCACTACCAAATGCCCTACATACAAACTAGTAGTTAAAGTTTTTGTAAATGCTGTATAAAGCTAAGTGACCCAGCTATGACTGATTATGGAAAGCCATTTATTTCTTACTTTATATTACAAATTGTGCTGTCCTAAAAATAAACCTTTCTGTAGGTTTTTGCGCTTTCTCTTTCCACATTAGGCATCTCATAACAATGCTTAAAACTACTCAACACATCATACATTTTCATTCACAAATAATACAACAAACCCTGAAAGGAGCCACTTCTGTTATATGCCAGCATATACATGGGCTCCATTTCTTTAAAAAATGGTGAGTTCATAGTGCCAGTATGAGGCAGATGAGCATTGTCTTCATATGTACAGACTGAGCTGTCTCCTCAGTATATGAGTAAGTTTGCTACAATTTTACATCTGTAATTTCAGACTACAAGATATGCAAGGATATCATGATTCTTTACTTACAGGGGTTTTGTTTTGCCATCCTTCGTAATGTAACTCTTCACACCTGAAACGTACACACACGTGGTAGGAGCAGTAAGAACAACTATTACTGTGATGAATACAACAGCAATGATGACAATAAAGGATCTTTCTTTCTGCATTTGTCTACATAATTTCTATTTGAATATTTTATTTCAAAATATAATACTTGTTACGACCTACCAGATGCTAATGAGCAACAATAAAACTCCTGAAAAGCAAATTTTACATAAGCTACTTATTTAAATAAGAGTCAATATTTTCAAGATTAAGAAAAGAAAACATTACTTGACCAAAATCAATATTTCAACAAATGTTTGTAGTCAACTGCCAAGACATAGCTCCCAAAGTAGTTTTCACTGATCATTAGGACAGTACTATTTCTTCAAACAGAGAATAAAAACAACACAAAAATTTAAGGCATAAATAAAGAAAGAAAGTAATCTAGACAGTGTTTAACGTAAAAATTGGTTACAATATTTCACATCCTGCATTTCCACTGAAGGCCTTATGATAAATATTAGTGATTATATGAATGACAAACAGCCAGTGGGCAGAATTGAAAAGTGTAGGAAATACACATGTATTTTTGTAAGATTAATTAATAAATGTTTAAGGCAAAATATATGTATCTATCACTTGCTGTACAGCACATGCTTGTACACAAACTATGAAATCCCCATTTAATTTTCTTCTGAGGCACAACATGTTTAAACAATAAACTGAGGAAAACCTGAAATCAATGAAATTTAACACGATATAACAGGAAAAGCCTTAAACTGAGAAATTATAATTGGGGGCATCTCTGTATTAAATACAGCACAATTATTTAGTTTTCTACCAATACTTTTCACTTCAAAATTACCCATAAAATTTCATCTATACAGTAAAGGTAATATCTGTTATGTGGTGAAAATACTGTTTGCAGTACTTACCAGAGCTTAAACTTACGTGTCCCATTCCCAAGGCTGTAATTTCTTCAAGCAAGTCCTTCAAACTTGTGTCAAGTTCCGATCCAATTCTGATCGTTGGAGAAACTTTCTTTGATGTCTGTGTGTGCCACACCAAAATCTAAAGGAATGTATATCATATAAAAAAATAATGCCAACTATACTTCATTCAGTGTTCGGTTTCTACCTAACAAAGAATACCTGAACTATTTTACATGCTGCAAAGGCAAGTCTATGACATGTTTCTTCAACATGCAGTAGCACTTGTTAGGAGGAGCACCTACCTGTCCTTCCACGTTTGCACACGTATGTTTCAATATCTGAACTGCACATGTTACATAGCTTAAAAAGATTGGATGACTCTAAATGACAAAGTAGGAAGGAGCTCAAATATGGTGATCATGCCTTAGGAGATCATCGTAGAATGTCTGAAGGGCCTGAGAAAAACAATGAGAACCCTGACATGATAGCTGGTCTGTGGACCAAGAACTGAAACCAGAACCTTAAGAACACAAAGCAGAGTGCTAACAACTTTGTTTGTGAATGAAGGCCAATAAGTTGGACAATTAATTTCTACACCTTGCTGGCTACTTTATAGAAGTGCAAGCACTTAATAAAAAGTAGGTATTTTCCCCTGGTACCCATTGGATAGAAGACTGGGTGGGTCCCAGAGCCAGTTTTGACACAGAAGCTAAAGGAAAAATCCTCTGCCGTCCATCAGGGATCAAACCCTGGTCGTCCAGTCTGTAGCCAGTCACTACACTGACTGAGTTACCCTGGCTTATTTTTACATTTACCTTTTGGTATCTTAAGCTATTGCAATAACTTGTTTTACATAAACAAGCAGTACCCAAAGACATGGAAACAAGTAATTACTGTGAGAATTAGCTCTAATATTAGGTTATACAGTGAAACCTCGATGCATCGTTTTCGGCGGGGGTGGGAAATAAAAACGATGAATACGGGAAAACGATAGTTGCGGGAAAGCATTAAAATTTTTAAAAAAAACAATGTTTCTCTTTCAAAGTTACTTCTTTTTACCAAAAAGTCTTTAATGAACAACTGGTTTGTCGAAACTTTGCGTTTTAGGCCAAACAGAGCCCTTTCCACGTTCAAAATGTTTTCCTCGTCACGTTCACTAATATTATGCGCACAAAAGAACGACTTCACTTTTGCCAATGCAGGGTGTGCTTCGGCAAAACTCGGCACAGCTTCGGGCTCGAATTCGTCGTCTTCCTCTTCCTCACCACTCCCATCCCCTTCACGAACAATAACAGGAAGAATGGAAATACTATTACTGCCGAACTCAACGAAACGTAGCTGTAGAAGACACGAGATGAACCAGAAGAATGAAAAGTGTCGCCCGCCTTTCCTTTGTACTTGTAATAAAAGCATTTGTGAAGAAATTCACACTGCACATGCCATCTGGCATCGCTGGAACGAAACATGAGTGCACCCTAATTAAACTCATAAAATTTCTGACAATGAGCACCGCCATTCACTCCAACTATCACCCCTCATTCCAAAAGAATCTGTGCTGGTTGTGCGACATAACAGGTTACCGCTACTGTGTATTCCAAAAACATTATGCGTCTTTCGGAATTAATTTATCTCAAAACCCAGCATTTTAAATTCTAAAAATATCGCGTAAATTTCGTTATAATTTCTCAGAAACGATCATTGCGGGAAAATTGTGGGCAGGGACTAAGATTTTTGAACGATCGATGTGATAAAACGATAGTTCGAGGAACGATAGAAGCGGGAAAATGTAACATTATTTTATATGGGACGATGCATCCGGGAAAACGATAGTTCCGGGAACGATGGATAGAGGTTTCACTGTAATTAAGCAAAATGAAACCTCAACACAAGAAAAACATTTAGACACTCACGGAAAGCAAAAATAAAAACTATCTGATAAATTCAGCATGATGTGAACAAATTTCATAAGATCAAAAACCGCAGCCAAAGATTACAATTTCTTATTTAAAATTTCTTGCATAATAAGCACACCTTACCTACAGGAAGAGAAGTCTAATATACCTGTGTGCAAGAGTCAGCCTTTGGCTCTATGTCTTCCAATGCCAAGCCAAGACTTCTCAAAAACTGGTCTTCTTCATATCCAGCTTTGTATGGCATTGTGGCATTTGGATGGAGCAGAAATTCAACATTGACTGCAAATCCTGCCATATCGACAGGAAATTTTCGTTTAGATGGCCACGAGTCAAAGAAACCGATGACCTTTCCCTGACAAATTATACGCAAAAATGCAAAAAGTTGGCATAAACTTATGATAAGTAAAAATAAATGTTAGCTTAGAGTTTCAGTGACAGAATTTCAACATAAGAAAGAACACTTTCAAACCATTCTGTAAGTAACATTTACCTCCTTCAGGATGGGTGAACTCACGGCATAATCTCCAATCAAACCAACTGGGAACATAGAAACTTTCTTGGTGTCACGAATCTCTTCAAACAGCTTCAAGTCAAATGTGTTATCATCATCACCAAAGTAGATTACTCCATGCTGTGCATTTTTACGTATCCAGTTAATAGCTGCCCTTCTATTAGCAACACCTCTTGGGACAATGTTGGCTTTGCGATATACTTCTGGCATTGGGCTTGAAATGTGAGTGAATGGAATACCTTCACATACAATGGCACATAATTAGTATGATGTTAAACAACAAATTAAAAACAATTCATATTCATAACAATAACCCTTTCCAGAAGGTTAAGTAGTGTGGTAATGTCACAGCACATTTACAGACCAAGTGTAATTCCATTACAGTCTTTTAAAAATACATTATAATAATGCAGCCAGTTCAATATCACCAAGCAACAGGGCCTGTTTCTGCTGAAAATGAATTTTTAATACATGTACACAATGCATGTTCATCTCTCCAGCTAAAATACAATTAATATTTTTAATACAGTGCCCCATAAAGATTTATACACACAGCAATTACATACATCAGTATTGTATACACATATTCTTGGGGCATTTAGTATATCTTAAACTCTATATTCAGCCTAAAGACCTTGAGACTGACATAATTACCGAGTATGTGCTAAATGACTTCTATCATGGTGTGACTTTTTCCATTAAGTGAACAAATAGAAATGATATCTATGGCTGAGAACATAAAGGAGAGAAAAAATAACCTCCCCAAAGCAAATATAAAAGTGCTGTATGTAATCGCAGAGCAAGTTCAAAATAATGTAGGTGACTATGGACAAAATAACATTCATTTCACAATGGAACTTAATTATAATACAGCACTGAAATTCACTATATTAGAAGCTAGTAATAGTTATAATGACACAAATGTGATCAGTACTTTTTTAGTATTAGACAAGTCTGAAGTAATAAGAAACATTTTGACTAGAAATATGTTTATGGCTCAAGACAGAGACTAGTGGCATAGTAATTAACATTTGGTTCTCTTACATGGCAGGGAATTTCCTGACTATCTTAGTAGCTATTGCCTTCTGAAAGACTCTGCCCCATGGAATTACTTAAAAGTTTGATTAATGATTGTAGAATGCAGTGTGACTTCATATACACAGATGACCTGGTTTCAAGAATGTTAATAACCACTGAAAAGAAGTAGAATGTGTGTTGGGAAAAAGCAATCGACTAAATGTCTAAATAGCTGATGTGACTACATACCACCAGAGACCGTGCGAACCCTTTATTTTGTATTATGTGACATTTATATAATAGTATCAATTGTACTTTATAATATGTATTGTATTATTATTATGACTTTTTCCACATCCTGTTGTCATCTGACTGTCTTATGGATCCATGAAATGCAATAAAATATTTTTATTATTATTATTATTATAAACTTCAGAATGTTATTTATCTAAATGCAAATTTTAAAATAAAACAAAACACCAAATACATTTTATTTCATGTAAGAATGCCTATTAAAAAGACATGATTTTTTGTATTAGATTTGAAGTTTATCAAGTCTTCTCAATAATGTTAAAAGATTACAGTATTCTGATACTAGAGAAATAGCATAATGATTCATCTGTATTAAACATGTCACAGTAATTCAATTTAAATTATAAATCACAATAAGGAATTACAGCTTATATAAACTGCAGGAATAAGGGGATTGTTGAAGTCATGCTCCAAATTCATCTAACTTTTTCTGTTAAAACTCAAGACTGATATTTTGTTTCTTGTCTATTAACAGGCCACTTGCTCTTATTTTACTTACAAAATTATGAATAATGTTTCTATTGAGAACTAGAGCCATAAAAAACTTCCTTCTGACTCTTCACAGCAGAGTTACACATCACACAAGACTCATACAAAATACCAGATAGTCTATTATAAACTTGTACATGTTCTACACAAATGTAATCTCAAACAAGTCATACATGAATGCCACAGTAAAATATAAAATCGCTTCCTCTTGTTACTGCTGCTGCCTTGCAGATACTGATGCAGTGATAAAATGTTGAAAGGCTATGCTGCAGCACAGCTGTCAAATATCTTCTGTGAAGTTATTTTTATTGTGATATGAATAAAGAGAGAACTTACCAAACTTCTTCAGAAGTTTTGCTACCATTGCATTGCAAGACTGATTGTCATCTGCAACAATCCAGTGTATGTCAGGTACATGCATCAAGGTCTGGCCCAATCTTGTCAACTCGGCAGCCTGTTCCCTCCGGGGATAGGTTGGCGTAACAAAATATATTTTTGGGAGGCCTGTGGTTTGTTTACCTCTGGAGTCCTAATGTAAAAGCAAACATGACAGATATGTGTAAACTGTAATATTGTGAGCAGGATCCGAGGTTCTCATGACAGTGAGTACAAAGATGGCTATCTTTTGGGTTATATTGCCTTGTAGTTCTGTAGAAGTTTACCAGTGTTCCAGAGGCCCTTGCTGCCTCCATCATCAGGGCAATGAGTGACAACGATTGTGACCCTGATGATAAAGGTAGCAAGGACCTCTGAAATGGTGGTAAACCTCTACCACATTACACAGCACTACAACCCAGAAGGATGCCTTCTGGAAACATTATATTTTTTTATCCATTTATTAATATTTATTATATAGGTCATCACAGTAAAACTTCTTATTACTGAATAATGGTAAAATTAAAGGTCTATTAGTAAACATCTTGCATGAAAATTCTCTGAAATTTGAAATGACTACACAAGTATCTTCACTTTCACACTTTAATACTTGCTGCCTATATATTTAAAATTACAGATAGTCAGCTGAATGTACACAAAGACAGCCTGTTACTTAAGAAACACTAATAGTAAAATTGGTTATAGTTATGCTACAGCTGTACCTCAAATGAAATGTGGCACACAAACACATTTTCCTGGTGAGCAAATCTTCGAGCAACTTCTGTCCCTTGAGAAGCCCACACAAAATACAACACAAGGAGCATCATGCCTACAGTAAGCAGGAACATGTTCTTGAGTGGAAGCATCATCTGTTTTATCATGGATCATTATCTAAAATTCAATCTGCAACAAACATTTTAAATATATGCTGTCAAAGAAAATAATAAAATATAGTCATCTACACATCATTTGCAACACTGTACTTAATCTCAATTCGACATAAATTACTGTAATATTATTCACGGACACGTAACATTTTAACATAATAAAATCAATAACATAAAAATCAAAAAATAACCTAACGTGTATACACGTCATAAAAATACAGAACTAATGTCATATAAAGTTATGAAACAAATTACCTTTCTTTTACAGTATAAAATAGATATTGAAGCATTCGGAATAACAACCAACCAACAGTCCTCTTATATTTCACACAACAACATACACATTCTAACCATTCAATAACCACCTTTCATTAACACGATTTCATTCTGCGATGTTGTTATGTCACAGACACAGATTACGGCTCCATAGAGAATGTAATCTGGTCGCCAATGTTAAATGTTAGCAATACGTATGATGTCATGTATACATTGTTCTGCCATCTATCCGCAGCTATAGTAAAACTTTCATCAAACAATCTAGCGGTAACAGTATTAACAATGTCAACTACCAACGAACTCGTTCAACCCTCCCAAGCCCCCCTTACTTGCAAAAACAATTTTCCAGATCTTTATGTCACTGTCTCCAGGGATACTATTCCGCGACCGACGTATCAAAGGTGCTTACTGCCTCCGTCACAGGATATCACCATGTGGCAGTACCACATAATGAATCAAAATACAATGAGAATTCACTGTTTGTAAATATGAAGATTAGCTTCAAAGTTTATGTGAAACTATCTGATATTAATGCAGAAAATAAATTTTGAATTCTTCAACCAAACGGAAACACAAATAGAGTATGAAAAATACCTTCCAGAACGAGGAAAATTAATTTCTGAGCAATATCATTTTTGCCTAGTATGTGAATCAAAGAGAACTGACTCAAACAGTAAATTTCAGTGGCGATAACGTTGAACTCCACTGAATATAAGTCTAAAAAGTAAGCTGATGGTTCACGTGGTGGTGATATAATCTCTTATGGTGCCAGTTACCAATTTAGTAAGTATACACTTATTAATACATATTGAGTTTTTATGAAGGAATAGGGGTCGGAGATTTTTAGTACCGACACCACAGCCCTGGACACGACAATATAACAACAGGGGTTTTCCGAGTAGAGGCTTTTAAAATTTTCAAGGTAATTCGAAAGTCATTTTTAAACGCATTTTTCTGCCGATCTGTAGGGATCTGAGTGTCAATACTAGTGTTAGTTTGGCATCAATCAGTTCAAATTATCGTAACCTGTAGGATTTGAGGTTTTCACAGCGGTGAGTATGAAGATTTCTGTCTTCTGGGTTGTTGCGCTGTGGATGTTTACCAACGTTTCAGAGGTCATACTGCCTCCGTCATCAGAGTATGAAGATTTCTGTCTTCTGGGTTGTTGCGCTGTGTAGTCTGGTCGATGTTAACCAACGTTTCAGAGGTCATACTGCCTCCGTCATCAGGGCGACGAATAATCGTAACCTGTTTAAATACAGTCGATTATAATATTATTCTCACATGTATGCCTCGGTTATCTATGGTCTTGTGTGATGACATAATTTCGAAAACCACGCAGAAAACTAGGTATGTGAGAACACAGAGCCTGGCAAAATTTATATTTATCTTGAGGCTGAAAAGCTGTAACTAATTACCCACTGCGAAATTGGAAATAGAACATATAATACAATACCTATAAATTCTCTTAAATACTATTGTGTTTTATGTTTATATAACGTAAGGCTGCCATGATATAAGCTTATCTGTCAATTTTCCGCGACCATAAATTTATACTAGCGTGAATGCATGTACAGAATGAGATCAACAAGTATCAGACTTATTGATTTATAATATCTGTTAGCATTTAAATTGTATAAGGAAATTCGTAGAAAAGTAGACTCTTCATTAACTCTGCCGAGAATTTCTTGTTTTAACATGGGTTGAAGACAACTGTCTTCTTCATACTCACCGCCATTAGAACCTGAAATATCGACAATGGGTTTTTTCAACATGACGCAGAACAGACGTTAGTTCTCTGAAGAGAATATTAACCAGGACCTTAAACAAGGCCAATTCTTCATAACGTAGATTGATCCTTTTCCTTCCCTCAATTCATATTTTGTTTGTAAAATTTAAAACGTAATCATTATTAAATTTAATATTAATGGTTATAAATTATCTAATTTGTCAGACAGGAAATCCTCGGAATTAAAAGAAATAAATGAAGTTGTAAACTTAAATAATCGCAAACTCTTCGTCTGGAATAACTTTTCCACTAGTTTCTATGTCTGTTCTAGTTTAATGTGTTCTTCGACTATAATTATATACGGTGTAGAAATTAAAGCAGTAAATCGGTGTAAACAACTGTGCGCTAAAGTGGCTTAAGAATAACTCGTGCGGATATAAAATACTGAACCAAGACGCTGAAGGAACCGATGTTAGGCATACTTTTCTTCTGATAACAGAGTTACAGTAATGTATGATCTTGAGCGACAGGATTTGCAAATTATTGACATTAATGAAGTGTGTTTCCTGATAATATATCATCATACTGAGTAGCATAATATTACCAAACATCTAAGGAGGTTCCTCTGGCCTCTGCGCCCAGACCGGCTCTGGGGCCCAGCCACCTTCCTATCCAATGGGTACCGAGGTCCTTTCCCGGGGGTAAAGCCGGCCGGGGCGTGACGCTGACCACTCACTCCCATCTAGTGCAGAGGTTAAGAATGAGTAGGAGTTATACAGCCTCTCCCCTAAGCGCCTACATGACGTATAGTGAGACAGTTTTACTTTACTTAGCAGGTCCCACAAAATTCATAATCGATCTGAGTGTTGAGAACTCCCGTCCTAGCGAGACTGTTCCTGTGGAATTACATTTCTAAATGTATTGGGATAATTAATTTGTTACAAAATATTTCCTAGGCTGTTATGAAAATGTTTGTATCAACTGTCTTTATTTAAGACGTAAACCCATTTTCGATCTACTGATTTTTCTTTCCATATAAGCAATACAAAACTCAACACAGATTAAATTCAGTAGCAGGTAAAAAGCTCCGTTTCACAAAATCTCACATTGGAGAACCTTTAACAATCGAGACCACTGAAAACCGAACTCGCACATTTAATTCTAGCCGTGGAAATTTAAGGACAAGAATTAGTCTGTAGTAATTAAGAGCAATCTCTTGTCTCCTCTGTAACAAGAGAAAAGTTAGAGGCACAGAAAAAGTAATACACATTTTAAAAACATTGACAGTTTTTACCGAAGGCACCAAACTTTATAACACCGTCATGTACATCTCTTTAGATAGACCTACAGAATTACGTCATTTTGTCGTCCATACAAGTGCCCAGAGTTCGATTCTAGTAACCTCGAAATAAGATAATCTATTAAAGTTTGATTCCATGCACAGGATACAACAGACGATCATGATGCAATATCAATAAATAATAAAACATCGGCCTATGACTTTGCTGTAATACGTAAGTAGTTAATTCGGTCAACCGACATAGACAGAATGAATCAAATTTCTGTTGCAACACATTTTTAGATTTCCTTTTCAGATTCACGACCGTTTCCGAGTGACGTTTTAACGCTGTTGGCATTTATATTTTTGTGATCGTCTGACGAGGCCTCCTCGCTGAGAGTTCTAGAGGAAGAGCAACTTTAAGCGCAATCAGACCCCAACAGTAGTTCTGACAACAAAACTGCTTGGATTTATTAATGCAGATTATGCAGATATGCATTTCATGCATGGCTTTTGCGATGGAAATTGTCTCGTCAAACTGAGGGCGCTGAAATTCTGGTCGGAACAACCTCACCTCCCCATTTTTATTTGTGGGGATGCATGGAGGAAATATTTTATGCCACGGAATTTCGGGACCGCGATGAGCTAATTAACCACAATGAGGTGTCTGTTGCAGACATCGTATCCAAACGCTAAACTACTAGCTTCTACCAGGGGCTCAATTCGACATCGCTGTGAGCCGTGTGTTGTGGCGGAGGAAGGACGCTTTGAAAATCTATTGTGATTATGTGCGGTACAGTCAGTGAAAATGGCTGTCTTCTGGGTTGTCGCGGCCGTGTAGTCTGGTAGAAGTTTACCGACGTTTCTGATGTCCTTGCTGCTTCCATCACAGGGCGACGAGTAAACTTCAACGGGACTACATAGCTACCCAGAAGACAGCCATCTTCATGCTGACCAGTCACTTTGAACTCAAATGAATTAGAGATCTTGAATGCGTTGAGTTTTACTTCAACGATCTCGTTTTTGCGATGGCGTGATCCTTTAGCTTCTCTCGTGCCCGTATACTTACTCAGGATTGCGTTCTCTTAATTTTAATGCACACCTTGTAAGTTTTCAGTCTAGCGCTTATTTGTGAGCCATGGCGATTCCTAGTGATGGCGCAGCAGTGGGAAAACCAGTTCACATTCCTTTCCTTTGAAGCGCCGAAATGCTCTTGCAGAGATCACAAAGTGCAATGGTGAGGTCTAATGGAATGCCTTTCTTTTTAGCCTATTCATTTTGTTTACAGATTTTAATCAGTTCTTACAAACGCAATAACATTACAGAAATACATATAGATAGAAATTAAATATAGTCATAAAATCACGCGTTGTTGGTATTAATGGCGTCTAATATACATAACTTCAGTCTTAAATTTAATGAAATACAGTTCACAGAACACATGGCACGGGATACCCATACACTAACGGCTGGTGGGACATTTACCAGGACAATCAAGCTGACACAGTAACAACACCTTCGGCTTTTATTACGAAGGTGACCGGTTCGAGTCCATTTCGTAGTTCCGGGTATGTTACTGAGAATTTTGTACTTTTCTTCAGTCATTCTAGGCGAACGCCAGTAAGGTATCTTGAAATAAGCGATGACTATTTCGTTTCTCATAATATCCAATCCATTGGACGTTATTATTACCTCGTTCGTATATCGTTTTTTCTCTTTTCTTATTACACGCTAAGCACTCTTTGTAGTTGGAGTAGTGTCATTATGTACCCCAATAATCAAACAACCAATGAAATAAGAAGTTTAATATATAGCATGCAGAACCACAGAACTAAAACTCTTATTAGTATATTATTATAAAGAAATAAAAGGGTAACATGTGTAACTAACTAACCAGATGGCTTAGGGAAACGGAAGGTTCATCACCGAACTAACCAAAGCCCTCCATCGGTCCCTGTCCTGGGCCAGCAAAATCCAATCGTCATCAACACCTATCTCCCATAGATCCCGCTTGATATTATCCTCCCATCTACGTCTATGTCTCCCCAGCGGTCTCCTGCCTTCAGGCTTCCCGACCAATACCCGATGCAAGAGAATTAAATTATGACTAAGCTCTATCGATCACTCCTTTCATACACTGAATAAATATCGTACAATAAAAAAAATGCCAATAACTATAAATGCCAAATCCTCAAGGCCAATGGTTGAACACGGTTTCAGGACATAACTCCCGCCCCCTATAATTCACATGTCGAAGAAGGGGGTAGAAAGAACGGAAAATAGAGGACAAGGTTTGTGTTCCATCAGCGGTAAAACAGTGGCTTTGTGGTTTATAAGTTGAAAAATATAAGGAAATATTACGTAATATTCTAGACTGTTGTATAAGATCTGAATCTGTTGGAAACACGAAATTTAGAATTCACGTAATTCGAAATAGAAGTTCAAACAAAATCGAAGAACATGATGTTCTTCTAAGTTTGATGCCGCGTATACTAAAAGACAGATGCCAACGTTTCGGAAAAATATACTGCTCCCATCTTCACAGCTGACGCCTACAGACTTCAGGGCTAAATAGAGACAACATGTTTCTCAGAAATTTTGGTATCTACCGACGAGTTTACGCGGCTCCAAAAACCAGACTATCACCATTATCCGCACAGCAGTGAGAATCACATATCTCACAAAATATATTTCCGGGTATAGGCCTACTGTTAATGGCACAGTGGAAATAGAATGAATAAGATAACGGTAAAACGCATAAGTGCTGACGTCAAAAACCAATAATACGGACATAATTAAAATTTGTATCAAAATACAATTGATAGCTAAAAGGCAGACATATGTATGGGCAGAATTTAAGAAAAACAAGGACAGACCTCGTCCATAGACTTCGACCAACTAAAACTACGAATAGATTAGACAGATGTCTTTATGATATTAATGAAAATATTATGTTTTCTAGAACATTCAGAATATAACTTATTTTATTTACTTTTGTGCTTTATTTAACAACGCTGTCAGTTTTTTCTCCGCAAAACATTCACTAATCATCATCATTTGACGATGCGACTTTATTACTGGGTAAGAAGGGCTTAAATCACTGAATATTTCATTTTACTTAAACCATTCTTACTAGAGAACCAAAGAAACAGTGTAAAAAAATTTAAGAGTAGTTAAATAAATCACGAACAAATATGAATTGGGAAGTGTGTGAACGGAAGCGGAAGTGGTGTGTTTTAAGCCATTATCATAGTTTTTCCTGTAGGGTTTCGGGGATATCACGGACCGGCCAAGTCATAATAGAACATATTCAGTCCAAAATAAGCTTGCCCCCATCCCCTGACATTTTGTGTGAAGAGATACAAATTTATTTTTCGTTGTTGCAATCTGGTATGATCACACTTTAGCACTGCAATGTATCGCGTTCAGTGTAACGACTATGTTGAATTCGAAAATCGTGCATCTAGATCAACCTGTCTCATGCATACGATCTGACGGTAAATATGGTCATTCACCATCACAATAAATACATGATACAAAGCAACTTCAAACTTTGAATGCCAACACAAATCGTACTACGAGACTAATCCAAGCAATTTACTACGACCGCGTCTGTGCCTGATGGCAACGTCACCAGTCGAGTGTGGTCTCAAAGATTGTCTCTAAGACGCAAAATCTCCAATTAAACTATATAGAGACTAGCAAAGGGATACAAATTTTCGGATGAAGCAAGTGATAGTATAGAACGGCAGCGTAAATATCGGCTTTCTAACTTGAAGACTGCAACGAGGAAAACATCGTAAAGCAGCGTTTACACCGAAGCAAATAGCAACAGAGAAGAGGCGACATGCGATGGATGATACCTGCCGCTCATAGAAACAGCGTCAACACTGGATCGATAGTGATATCGCTTTTAAAATTAACGCTCGGTGACAGGCGATATGTTACCAAGTATGATGTCTAATGTCGGCGTCGCGACGCTACTCGTCAGTTTCCCATCGTCCGGTCAGATCACTTCCAGAGACTTCTGTTGAATTCGTTTGGTGTTCCGAGTCGTCGCGACACTCGGCGTTGGTTTTCCA